TAAGGACTGCCTGAAGACTGCTATGTGTGTTTTTCTTTAAAAGCATCATTAAAATGTTTCCAATGTGTTTGTCACAATTCTGCTCAAGCAGCAAGACATTCTGGAAATCAGTTGCAAGGGATCAGGTGAATTCAGGCTACAGAGTATGATCTGCTCAACAGACTGTAAGCAGAAAGTTGTCCCAAGCCTGACCAGGCATTGTGCAGATCTTGTCTCAGTTCTAGCCACTTACCCTTGGCTAGAATAAGCCACTAAATCAGAGATAAATCAAGGTGTAAGCAGGAAAAAGAAGCTAAAACGGAGCTATGGCACACATAATAAAAGATTAGCACCAAATATTGATTTTTAGAGACTAGAGCTGCATTAGTACCTGTTCCTTGTGTAAGAAGTGATGTAAAATATTTTGGCCAGAAATCAGACATATTTTTGCATACAGTGTACTTGCAGCCTGAAAGCATGTCAAAAATTAAAGATTAGATTTCAAAGAAACCCTCTACATTACTAAGTGTAAACACATGGCCATCTCTTTTTCCCTAACAAACATATCTGAATGTTTATAGGCAGTATAAATTCAATATTTAGATCGTGTGGAGAACTGAACATCTTGAAGAAGTAATCTTTTGCATAGAACATAATGACACTGATGATCTCTCTGTAGTAATGACAGAGATCTATTGTCATGAGCTATAGACATTCCTCATGCCAAAAGACTTATAAAGCTTGAACTTGAACACAAATCTAAACTGGCATTACAGTGGCAGGCAGTCAAATAATTATTATCCAGATATAGGTCTTGTTAGCCATTTCAAGTATATAAAAAAACTAATGAGACACTTAGGTATTATAGTGGAGACAAGCCATTGACATATCAAATCAGCTCTGATCACATCATTAAATCAAGTTTTTACAAGTGTTACTGTAAAATACAGTTGAGAGATTTGTTTTTTAAGATGGTAACCTCTCTCACATACTTCTATTGTGCTTAAGGAGCAAATAGAAAAGCACATACATGTTTAGTATCCTAGTGATTAAAATAAATTGTAAATACTTGCATTAAGACTTTTTAAAAATACAGCTGAAGAGTTTTTAACTTTGATAATAATTATATGCCAATTCATTCAATAAGATGGTGAAACTAATCATATTTAATTTGATAATTTATATTTACTAGTATTTTCTTACAGTTCCTGAGTAGAATTAACAAGTGACTTTTATACTCCGAATCTAAAAGGACATCTGCGTGTCAATAACTGAAGGCAAAATTACATTCTACCTAAATGCTGTGGGACCATTCACAAAATTCTTGTGGGATTGGAGTTTAATGGATGAGATTCATCCCCCCGACTGTAGACCCCTAATAGTCATTAACCTATCAATGTGCTAAATCCCCAGCCTCACTTTGGAGTAAATGGAAGGAAATAAGCATCTCCAGAGAATTATCCAGTTCAGCTGTCTTATGCTCTTGCTTATGGTAAAACAAAATAGTTCCTGAGTTTAGCATAACTCACTATAAAATAATCAAATAATTCAGACTGGAAGGGATCCTGGAAGTCAGCTGGTCCAGCACCTTGCTCAAAGCATGTCTTGTGAAAGCAAATTGCTCAGGGCCATCTCTTGTCAATTTCTGAACACTTCCCAGGATGGAGATTCCACAGCTGCTCTGGGCAAGCTGTGCTAGTATTTGATCACCTCCTGGGTAAAAAACAAAACAAAAATCTAATGTTGAATTTAAATTTGCCATATTTGTGCTTTTGTCTGCTGCCTGTCATCCATATACTTAGGCAACAGCACTTTATATGCTCGAGTGGGGTGAAATCCATCTCACTTGAATTATTATCAACTCATAATTGTGCTGGAATTATAAAAAGGAAATTAATAATTATATATACACTTCATTCTCCAGCTCATCACTGGTCCTAGTGCACATTCTGCACTCAAGCGACAACAATAATACACTGATACTGCATATAGTTTCAGTCATTCAGGTTGTTCCTGTTTCCATGCAAAACTTCTGCCTCTTCCATACAAATAAAGCATGCTAAGACTGGAATTCCTCAGATATTTTCTGTCTGCAGCAAAGTGAAATACCTCACACCTGCATTCTACTCTCTTATGTTTCAGCTGGTGATATTAACCTTGTTCTTTTTCCTCAGTGTGCCAGTGTAACTATTTGTGACTTCAAAGGGAACAGAATAAGAGGTTTCATGAATGCTAACTGTTCTGCCTCCCACTATCACTTTCTTCTGCACAAGTTCTTACAAATCTAATGGAATACAGCCGCTTCTACTGCCACATCAGTTAAAAAAATACCTGTAGAAGCATAATGCCTGTGTTACTTCAGTTATCTTACATCATTACTCTAAGTTTAATTCAAAATAAACCAAAGTGAAAATACTGCAGGAAAAGCTTGGGGATCTTGGAGGACACCACGTTGAGCATGAGTCAGCTGTATGCACTTTCACTGGTGAAGACCTACACTTGAGGATGCATTAGCTACACTGTAGTCATCAGGGCAAGGGAAGTGATTATTCTCCTCTACTTCGAATTCCTGAGGCCACATCTGAAATACCTGCATCTAAAATACTGTGTCCAGTTTCATCTCCAGTGGAAAAAAGATGTGTATTTTGAAGCAGTTAGTGAGGAGGCTGGTCCTGAGGACTTGCAGGATCCTTCACACCTGATTAGATTCTATGCAAATATCCTGTCAGTAAGAGTTCAGATCCCAGATGTGTTTGTTTGAGACTTATTAATTGTTTTTTACAACTGATCACTATATTTTAAGGTAAAGGACAACAGGGGTTTTAGTGCAATATTCACTATTACCAGAACCATGCTTCAAATGATAAAAATTGGTTATTTTTTATAATAAAACTTCTTACTTTTTAATCTTGATTGCCTGTGTTGGTTGCATTAGTTGCTAGCTGGGGAGTTCCCTTCTGTGATCTCTCATCAGCCTCTTGTGTAACTTTGTGCCACTTGGATAAGGCATTCACACTGCATGCCTTTATGAAGTGAAGCTGAATTAGTATCTAGGCACCCTGTGGATTCAGGGGAGAGCATTTCTTGGCTCTGTTAAGTGCTCTGGATTGTCTTCTCTGTTCATGTAAGGGCTCTGGCATTTTAGCTTTGATACTTGAATTTGATGTCCAAGTTAGGTATTGTGAATGGCTTCTCTTCACAGCACCAAATTAAGTCTGTTTCCATTCTCCGCTGTGTGTCAATGCATAGGGGAGGACAGATCTTCACTGTCTCAGTGAGATGTTGAAAAGATCATACTGTAAGTCAATCCATTACAGCACTATTGGGATCTTTGTCACAGCCTTAGGTAAAAGGAACAGTGTGCTTGAGAGGTGATTATTTCACTCGGTTTACTTGCAGACAATAAAAGGATTTGTTTTGACCTTTTCTTTCTTTCTGAAGAGGTGAAACAGTTTTACTGAAATGAAAGTGACACAGAATTGTGCCATCACCATCGAGTTTTAGTAGTTACCTTGATAATTCAGTTGTGAAAAGAAAACAAAGGAATCTGTGGTATACATTTAAAAAGTTCAGGCCAAGAATGTTGATTTGGGAACAGCAGGTGTACCCCTTTCTGATTCTTTTAATACTTAAGCATATCTATTAGAATACTTTGTCTTGTAAATATTGTGTGTGATAAGTATTTTACATTACATTTTTAGCAAGTGTATAGGGTTCAGTATTCAGGTTCATCATCAAATTCCCTACAAGCGACAAATGTTAGATTACTAACTTTTTCAGTAATACATGAATGAACAACTGCCTATTAACCTCTGTGTGTTATTTTGAATGTTTATATTGACATGTATCATAAATTAAGCAGAAGACTTTACCTCAGATCAGAGAATCCCAGGAAAACCCAGCAGCTTCATAGAGCAGTTATCTTCATTCAGTATTTTGCTTCCTTCTAGGTTAGTACCAAAAAGAAAGCAATACAGCATTTAGGTATAAATACCTAATTTTTGAATGTAGAAGGTAGCAGTGATATTCTCCAGATTTATATACAAAACAAACATTTGCACAATCATTCAGAAAATTATAATTGTCTTTCACAATAGTGTATGACTAAAATCTAATTCTCATGTCATTCATGAGCACTTAAATGACCTATGTAGGTTGCCAAAGTTTAGTTGCTGAAACTATTGCATGTCACGTTTTAAATTTAGGCTTCCATACTGCTACTTAAACTTTTGTTGTTCCTGTTGAAAAAAAAAATAAATCATCATGCATATCCCATCAGCATCTAAATATGGGATTTCAGAGTTAGATACATTGTGCCTGACTTACTGCAGATAGTAAGGAAAGCATTAGCATTTGCAGAATAAACTATATACACTTAAAAGTATATATAACTATATAACTATATAAACACTTAAAAGATGAGTAAAAACCACATTAAATGGCAATTGCATGTTAGCACATCAGTGCTGTTTTGAGAAAAGGCCCTACATTCCAAAGTTATTTAAAGAAACTTTTAAGTACATTATTTTCCAAATTTCTGTGTCATAAAAGAACTTAAAAGAAATACTGTTTAAAATGTTATGTAGAAAAGTGTAGGAATTCAAGGAATTAAAGCTAGGGAAGTCAGTCCTTGCAACTTAATACATTACTAGTAAGTGAAACTAAAATGCAATGAGGAAAATAATAATTTTGGTTTAAAATAATATATGTTTGTTCAAAAAGATGTAATGCATACTTCCTGAATGCACTATCATAAGTTCAGTAATTATGAGCATAATATATACACTCCAGGGAAGTAAGTGATCAGCACATATATGGTGGTACATAGAAAGTACTTATTGTATGTGTTGCTCCTGGTGCTGCCCATTATTATTCTTCTATTTGTTGCCTTTCTTTTGATTTGTAAAGCTAAGACTCAAAACTTTTCAAAAGGTGTAAAATCACTTGAACACTGAGAAATATTGGGCAGTTTCAGAAAACTGATGTATTTTCCTTTACAGATATATTTCTTCTTACTGCAGATCAAATGCATTTGAAGTGCTGGCACTCGATGGAGTTAGTACTGGGATACTTCAGTTTTATACAGCCCAGGAGAGTGCTGACTGGCTGAGAGCAATGTCAACTAACATCAGTGATTTGACACTTCAAAATGTATGTTACTTCCTACATATTTTTTTGTCTGTGCTATTGTAAGATATTTCTAGTTTTCCAAGGGTAGAAAATAATTCACATTTAAGTTGCAATATATAAAACGCATCTATGTGGAGGAAAAGGAGAAGAAAGAGCAGGGAGAGGTTGTGTGGTCAATCAAAAGTATCGTGACATTTTCAAGACTTGCAGTGTTATTATAGAAAAGAGAATGGTAGAAAATCAGATTGCATTTATTATTTTAAAGGTTTTTTTAATGCAAAATATTTATCCTTTCTGGTCATTTCACAGATGTGTACATGTGACCAAATACCTAATTTTTACATATTTTTAATTAAAATGTGCTTGAAATTAATTTTGTTGATTTTGAAGTAGGCATGTGGAAATCCTGTGGCTAGTAAACCAAGACTTACAGAGGTTTATTGGGAGACAGTACTTTTACCTCTATAAGTTGACTAGGAGTCGATTTACTTAAGGCTGTCTTATTCCATCTTTCTTCCTAGAAGTACAAAGGTGCTTACACTGCTTTAAGTTATTCCTGTAAATTCATAAGTAGTGCTTGCTAATGCAAGCAGAAGTATTAAACAAACCTTGGAGAAACATAAAATTATTAGTTGGGCAGCACATTACTATTCCAGGAAAAAAACAAATGAAAACTATTCAAGATTCTGGAATGAAACATGAAATTATATTGATTCTTGAGAATGTACAATATTGAAAATGTATTTCCGTGTATTTGAATGGTAGAAATTGATGGCAAAAGTATAAGAGCACAGCTGTTCCTGGAAGAATTGCCTGTGCAGCTTCTTAATCTTTTTTTCTTTCAATGTGTTCAGGCTGCAACTTTTTTTATAAATTATGATTTAGTAATGTCTTTAATTTATACTTTATACTCGGGTTAATTTTTCCTTAGATCTTCAAATTATATTGTGTAGAATTTGTACTGGATTTCAACATAGATATTTGGTAGAAACAGATTATAAATTAAATTTATTTTTCTAGTCTTCAAAAGTTATTTGGAATCACATTTCCTAGAATCATAATAGTTCATTTATTAGGTTAATCCTTTTTAAGTATTCAATTGATTAAGCGATGTCTTTGACAGAATTGATGATTTTTGCTTATGATGCCTTCTTTATAGATGTTTGCTGTTCTCTATTTAGTTATTTTTATAATTTACAGGGTATTACTATTTGATTTTACATTACTTCATTTACATTACTAAGAAAGTAATATAAATTATTCATGGAATTTCATAATTCCTTACATGTGAATAGCAAAAAGAAGTGTACGGTAATATTTTTAGAGTGATTCCAGTTCATAGTTACTAAGCCAGATTCTTTTGCCTTTTGAAGAAATCTACTCAATAAAAGCCACTCCAAGGATATAGGTGAATAAGTCAATAAAAAGTGGCTATAAATGCAAGCAGGTTTTATTACTCATAGAGTTCTAGTCTTTTTTTTTCGAATTCACTATATGCAGTAGCATATGTTCTAACATAGTGTCTGACATAGTGACTGTGTTGTGACCAGTCTGCAGCAATATTTTATTACATATTGAGTACTTGCATTGGTCTTCTCCATTATCTATTGCAATAGTGAACTCTATAAATAAAGTAGTCCACTTCGTGTTCATATAAGTGGGTGTTCTGGGTAAGGGTCTAAGAAACAACAGCTAGGATAATAAATTCCCATTTTGTGTTCTTGGTGATGAAGAGAGTAAACTATACAGAACATGATATGTTCTGATAGAGTCTTCTGATAGCAGTAAGTGAATGTTTTGCTTGTACTTAGACCTTTACGGATTTTGTCAGGTGTGCAGCCTGTGTATTTTAATTACTGATCATCATAACAGGAGATGCAACAGTCAGTGAGAATCCGTTTCACTGCAAACCATTATTTAAGACCAGGAGTTTGAGGCTGGAATGCAACTGAAGTGTACAGCAAAAGGTGCCTGAAGAAGACTTCCTGCCTCTTGGCCGTTAGAAGACACATACAGTTTGAAATCCACAGTGCTTTGAGCAAGGCCTCTGGTTAAGATTTCTTAAAAACCCATTTTGAATTACTTTTATTACCTTACTACTACCATTTCACAAAATGATTATTTTCTTATCATACTTCTGAAATTGATGTTAGGAAATGGATCTGTAGTTCTCAGAGTTTTTTCCTCTTTTTGCACTTCTACACTTCTGTAGCGTATCTCCTCCATTCTCCAGGAGCAACTGAAGATAATCACTACTGGTTTAGAGATTATTTCAGATAATCCCTTATCTACTTCAGGGTTATTTTCATGAGTCCTTGCTGACTCTAAGTTCAATTGCTTCTCCAAATATTTAAACTGTTAATTTCCTATCCTGTCCTATGCCATCATCTCTATGTATAAACTAATTGCTAGATATGTGGCCACAATGGAACTTCTTGCTGATACTGTTGGCAGAAAAAATGTTGGCATTTTTACCTGACCTATTACTATGTAAGCAATACTTGCAACTGTTCACTTTAAACATCCAGATATTTTTAGATTTTGTTTGTGCTGATATTTGTTTCTTGACTTTAACAATTCTTGCTGCATCTTCTCTATTCGTATTTCATCTGTGCCTATTCATGCTACTCTTGCATACATGCTTTCTTTTGCATGTTTTGCATACTATTTTGAATTTCTTTTAGACTTTTAGTTCTTAAAGAGCTCCTGATACAGATTGTTTTCTTACGGTGCACTCTGTCTTTCACATATCACTTTACCTAATATACTTTATTTTACCATACTACAGTCTTGTTTAGCAACTTGCAGCTCTTTGTCAGACTTCCTGCTGATGCCAAGACACTCCTAATGTAGACAGTACAAAAATAGCTCTGCCACAATGTGACACTTCTGCTAATGTCAGACTACTCTTTTGAAGTACTGAAACATCTAACTTCCATTTAAAGACAAGTTCTCTGGGGACCAAGTGTAAAGGAGGAGTCATCTTTCAACAGTGAAGATGTGCAAATGCATCACTGCATAAGGAAGCTACCCCAGGATGTTAGCATATCTAGAAAGTGTTACTTGGTAGATGAGAAATAAAAATACTGGTACTCACCTAGAGAGAGTTAGTTCTCAGAATACAGAGGAGCACAGGGAATACTGTAACATGGAGAAAGATGTAAGGGTATCTGCTTACTGATATATGCCCTGTACATTTAGTTTGGAAAATCTCCGAGTAATAATCAGCTTTAAAAGCAGTATGGATCACTTTTTTTCCTTACCCCAAAATATTCATTCCTCTATTCATATTCTTGTTTTTCACACGCTTTTCTACCAGCGTGAAACTTCCCTACCATCTTCCTTTGTGATTCAATTCCCAAACTTCTCAATGCACTCAAAGCTCTTCACATTTACCTTTGACAGAAATAAATAGAGATGAATCAGCACTCACACATTTATTTCTTCATACACCTCTTTTCTTGCAGAAGGAGGTAGAGCTGAAGAAACTGAGGGGAGAAAGGGAAGAGAAGCTGGCAGTGAAGCTGCCAAGATGAAACAAGAAAGACAGGAAATAAGTTGATCTGTGTGTGTTTCTCACTGCTCCTGTTCTTAATTTGTTCAACTAGAGGCTTCTTTGCAGGCTGAAGTAGCAATGCTGTGCTCGAGATGTTTTTTTAGGGGAAAGTTCTTTAGAATAATTTATACTTCTCTCTCTGTTTCACACCATTCAGATAGTCAACTATTAAGTATATGCAGCTTTTCTCATGGATCATAATTGTTTTCTTTGAAACATAACACTGAACATTAATGAAGTCATAATCAGTAGACGCACCTAAAAGTAATGCTGCCAGTTCATTTCCATTATAAAGACTTATTTCTTATATTTCTCAAGGTTGGTTTTGTTGTTTTTTTTTTCCTCAGTATCTTTTAATGGTGCTACTTAAAATAAAATTTAAAATAAAAATAAATACATAGATAAGCAGCTCATAAGCAGGTAGGAGATCAAGTTAAGATGCAGTTTTTCCACTTTGAACATTATTTATGTTTTTTATGAGTTTTTCCAGCACTGTCGTTGGAGCATGCTAGAAACTTAAAATTTTTCTTCAGAACTGGGTTATTAATCCAGATCATATTTATGCCTTTGACATCTTTTTTAATTGCATATGTCACAATTTATAAACCTTTTGTTTTATGCCTTTATGTATATTTATGTATATTTAAGTGATTATCTGTATTGCAGTGCAGTGACATTTCTGTATGAATAGAGAGAAACCTATGAAATAAGAGTTTTGAAGATGCATATAAAGAAAGGATTGAGAAGGACTTTCTTTACACAGCAGAATTTGGGGTACATGCAGATGGAAACAAAATCCTTGTGTGTAGGAAGTAGTATGCAAATTTAACTGCCTCTGTGATTATGAAAACCATTCTATTCCCAGAGTGAAAACACATGATAATATTTCTTTGCTGCTGCTTTTTTTTTTTTGTTGTTTTTAAGCACAAAAAATTTCCATTTGAAAGTACCACAGTTCAAACCACTGAGGTTGCAAAGGGAAGTCAATAAGGGTAGGAATCACATTACTTAATTACTTAAATTCAGCCAAGAAAAAAAGCAGTTGTATAGGATATTCTTATAGCCAGGAAAATAACGTAGGTGCCTATCAAGATCCTTCTGTTTCTTTGCTGTCTAGAAAGAGTATAGGTGTATTAGATGTATAACTCTCTCATTTTTTGGCTTGTCAAAGTTAAGTGAGATAAACCCCCTCCTGGGAGGTATTTCAATTTTGGTACATGGTTCTGCATCATTTAATTCCCATCCTGTTCTTGACCCATATGTATGCATTTAGAGTATAGGAATTACAGTTGCTTAATAGTTCCTTTTCCAAGTTTCATGCAGTCTTTTTTCAGATCCAGGTTTTTGGTTTAAGTAGTTCCCATGCTGTCTCCAACTCCCATTGCTGTACTGCATTACTGAAAGCTCATGCACTACCAGCAAGGTGTAGCGTATCCCATTTGTATTCCTGTCTCTTTACCAGCTG